CACCCGTTTTGTCCTGTCCCATACAGCATCCTTACCCCTTTGCGTGCCATACACCAAGGCATGCAACACAAATCCTTCACTTTCCTGCCATCTAAACATTCTCTAGCAACTCTCAAGGTGTCTTTTAATATAAACATGTTGACTACTTAGACCTGAGAAAACATGCACAAAAATAATATTTTGGGATACAGGGGGACAACAGGTTTGGTGGGGACCAGGGTCCAATGCTATTTAGGTGTGCATTGAGAGTCAGCCTGCTTTAGAGGGGTCTGATCCTAATTAGGACAGTGCTCAGCAGTTAGAATAAATAAAGCAGCCAAGCTGCATCCACATACCCTGTAACAGGCAGCACCTGGCTGCCTACCCAAGTCCCGGGATTCACATGCAAGAAAAATACCCATATCGCCCAGATTTGGGAGCTCAAAGGTGGATTGCTCATCAGCCTTCTCATGTGGGTCCATCCATCTTTCCCCATAGAATCGTTATATGTCTGTACAAATAATCAAAGATTTATTGGATGGAAAAATGAAGCCCTGTGGCTCTGAAGCTTAAATCCCTGTACCAATGTGTTCAAAAATGTGACCTGTTAAAGACCAGAGTTACTAGAATAAAGGAGACCATTTTGTTATCTCTGATTTTAACCAGAATCCTACTTTTGATCTGAAAAGCCTTTTGTAAAATTTAACCACAAATGACATGTTTCTGCAAGAAGTTGTCATTTTTTGAGAAAATTCCAGACTAGCTTTACGTGAGGACCACACACTTACATGGATGGAAGATGTTGATACTGATGAATTGCTGCTTTCAGCTGTAGAACTTCATTATTCTCATTCTCTACAGCTGGCGTTATTGTGTGGTGATGTGTTTGTCTTCTGACATCTCAGAGGGGGGAGGATGAAATGAATTTTCTACATTCACAGTGCCAAAGGGACAGTTTGAATAAGAAATGCTGCAATAAGACCTGCATGACTATGTCCTCTGGCATGAATGACGAATCTAGGTTCTACAGATCTTGTTTTCCAGCAGCACTTACAGACTGGAAGCATTTCTTTAAAAATGTTATAGGAAAACTACACTAAAGTTCAGCCTATTTTGACAGATGAAAGAAATGAACTAATGTATATTGGCTGATTTCTAGCTTGTGTTCCTGAAGCCTTTCCCTTCACTTTTACAGGCCAGTGGGGTCACTAATCCTACTCATTTTCAGCTTGTCAGTCAATAATCACTTATGTGGCACTACATCTTTGGAAATGACAGCTGAGACAAGATCCGATGTGCAGTCTTCCTTCCACCATGCCTTCCTAAATACAAATCTGAGGCGGCTGAAAGATCCAAATGCTTTATACCTGATAATGACACGTTCACCAGGCTTGTCATAAAGAAGGTTTTGGGGAAGTTTACAACATTGCTATTTGGAAATATCTGTACTTTGATGGCATAATGAAGTCATATGAAGCAAAACAGTCCCTGCTATTGGACATTAATGGGAGTCAACATTTTTTTTTTGCTCTAAGGCATTTTAATTGTATCACAAGCAGTGGCCATCTGGCTTAAGAATGAATATTCAGTATCTGTAGCAGAAGCAGAAATACTTGAGAGGGAAATGGTACCTTCTTGGCTTCCAGCTTGGACAGTACACATCACTAAAACTGGTGTGTTGTACAGTTGGCTAAATTGCAATTTGATGCCCGATGAATGCCTTTTTTAGGCTATTATCATGTTATTAATTAGTTATTGTTTACTAGTTTGGACTATATCTCTTCAAAAAGAAGATGACTTTATGTTAAAAATTCCTAAGGGATGACATATTTCACTGCACTCTGCAGAGGACTGTGACAGCTCGTCAGCTTTTATTTACTGAGAAGTCATAGGGGTAGAAATCAATTTATTTCTTTAAGGCATAAACATAATATCTCTCTTGCGTGTGACAGGTGCAATCCCTGTTTATTAAAAATGTAGAAAAAACATTTGCAAAACAGAAATTTAAAGAACAAGTACCGCAGCAGACAATAAGTTTCCTGACAAAGAATGGAGGTGAGAAGAATGAAACTATCACTTCTAAAGGGCAGGCATTCACTTCACAAATTTTATGACTGTCACCGGATCCTTTAGCTTGGCCTACCTTATTTCTACAGAGGTGCCTCTCACTGCAGCTTGTTGGAGTAAAAAAACCCCAAACTCAGACTGATTTGGCAGAGATTTTTCTGAGTTACATATGAAGACCATAAGACAATATTTCACAGTTCCGAGAAACTCAAGCTGTTAATACTTTGAGTAAATTGTATGTACATATCATGACCTATTTACAAGACTATAGGTTTATTTGTTTAAGTACCTAAGTATCTTGAGGCGCCTCTGAGGCGGATGCCGAGCTGACAACCTTGTCTGCCGCACTGAGCCGCCTCAAATACAAGCAGCCCAGCGAGAGTGGGGGCCAGGCTGCAATCCCTAGGAGGTATTTGACTTGAATGCAACTGGGACCAGTGTTGGAGAAAATGCATTTAAAGGCAGTGGAGGCTCTGCCACACTATTTTGGAATTAAATCAAACAACATGTTGACTCTCCTGAGGGAATGTGATGGGATAAATCTGTGATGCATTTCCTCACTGGAGCTATCTGGGCTGTGTTGGCTCTCACGAACGCCAGGTTGAAGTAATTTCCTGCACGCATTTAGAAACCGCTCTGGAATACTTCAGGGTGATAAAAGTTAGGTTGAGCCAATATGACTAGAGAGCTATCACCTCATTTTCACCGCATTACTGCCATAATCCTAGAAGGAAGATTCATATATGTGCACTTGGGAATGAAATTCCAGGGGAGAAGAAATCCATAATACCAACTATCAGCTAATATTATCAGACAACTGAATTTTCTTGTACTTGCTTCCTTACTTTTCTCAGGGGAAATTTACCCTAGTGCACGAGACCAACGCAAGACCCACCCAGGCTTGAATGCTGGATACTACGGCACTTGGCACAGTGCTACTGAAATCACTAGGCAGGCTTTCAGCGTGAGCTTGCCGTGGAGCTAAACATTGCCTTGTGATGCAGTTCTGCCGGAGCTGAACAGGGCGTACCTATGTGATGAAGTGCTCCTGAATGTGAGAAAGGAAGGCAAAGTCAATCCCGAATACATAAACATATCTTAAGCAATAAGCAATAAGCAAAGAGAAGTCAGAGCTCAGAAGTCTAAGGGAGGATGGGAAGAGTGGTAGTAACAGCTTCCCTGTCCTTTGGCTTATAGGAAAAACACATTGAGTGGTATACAACAATGTAAAAATCTCAACCTTGATAACTGAAGCATTCAGTTATCCAAACCCGAAGTTATCCTGACTCAAAAAGCAATTGATGCATTTGCTTTTCAGGCAGTACATACATCGCACTGCCATGCAAGTCAGTATGTCTCTCTGTCACCTGTTGCAAGGCAGAATTCCTTATGAGCAATATCTCACCCAAAGAATAGGAAGTGATCAGGAACTAGAGGCAGCATTACTATTAGACCTGTATGAGACTCCCCCTTGTACAAATAATCAAATATTTATTGGATGGATAAATGAAGCCAAACTCATTTTGTGTGTGTTCAATGACATTCCATTCTGTGCCTAAATGTGGTCACTATAATACAGAAACGTCTCCCAGGGCACATGAATAAAACTGAATGGGATTGAGTGCTGTAAACAAGAAGAGACTCAATTCTCACTCTCAGACACGGAAATTTTGTCAGAATTTTGTGGTTCTAGAGGAAACGCTGAGCACAACCTGATCATCTACATGAAACTGTTCTGTTAGCAAGGTGAAGTAAGTCCCACGAAAAAACACCACCACCTGAGATATTTAAAATGGCAATCCAAGAGGCAAAACAAGTTTAATATATATGTTCTGGCAAAGCTGCATTCTGCTCTTTAAGAATGCATTACATATTATGAGCATTCCTATTACAATTTTATTGCAATATTCAAGGTGTACTCAGAAGATACTATTAATTTTTTTAAATATGGGTTTATTTGTTTGCATCTGATTTTACAGCTACTCTTCCAGCCTCCAGTTTCATTTCTAAAATTAAAGCTAGTGATATTTCCATATCAAAGTTTAAAATTAATTTGCTTTGTGGGGCATGCCCCTTGATCTAAAATACTTCATTTTAATTAGGACATTTAATTTTCTCTAATGGAATCAGGTTCCATTCACTTAATCCAAAACTACTTTCTGAAAGAGTTATAAGCAGTACATTTTCTCAGCACAAGTATTCCTAAGGCTTGTCCGCATGAGGAGATTGCACCTATGCAGCTAAACTGATTTCAGATTGATCTACTTACACCACTACAAATTGTTACTGAAGTTAACCGTAACTGGGTCTGCCCCACTTCTGGATCGGTTTTATCAAACAGCTTTAAGTTTCCTACTGCAGACCAGGAACAGATAATACAAAATCACGTACTATTACAAGTATGCATTAGGATGAGAAAGCTAAATGAAAACTGTCCCACCTCCCAGAGCACGAGTCTCTGGGCCCACACAGCCTGGAGCATGGCCACTTCCCACCGCCATTTTTGTACAGCTTCCTTCTTCCCTTTGCCCTCCTCTCTGTAACCTGTTGCGTACATGTACAGCGTGCCAGATCACGTCTGCTTCTCATTAAGAGGACGTACAAGACATTTCCGAGGAACACTTTGTATATTCTGGCTCCGTGTTAGGATGATGTTCGGCCCCCATGCACGCACAAAGGCACACGGATAGATCAGGGCGGAGATCATCAGTGCATGGGCACGGGCAGTGAAAGGCATTCCCTTCCCTTACTGCGAGAGCTCGCTCCCTCCATTTAACCTACGTGTTTGTTCTGGGGAAGGCCTGTCTTTACTGAGTTTGTACATCTCATCAGCACAGAGAAATCCAATACATACCGTATATTATGATAAACTCCGAAACACCTTCAGCTTCATGCTGACTACAGCTCTCACAACGTAGGGGCACGACAACAAAATTATTTTTAAAACTGCATACCTTGAAAAATAGCCAGGCTGTCATCCATTTGGCCACCTTTACAACCCAAAAGACATGCTTGTAGAGCTCAGTATTCACTACTCCAGGGTCTACTACATTAGCAGTCACATGGTTTCCATTTGCAGTCAGAAGATGCTGTAGTCGATAGGTAAATAATACAAGGGCAAGTTTGCTTTGGGCATAGGCTCCATGGGGTGAATACGAATATCTGTGTACAGGAGAGAAAGAGAGAGGGAGATGCACATAAAAATAATCAATCATAAGCAAAACATGATTGCACAAACATCAAACGTACTGCATTTTGCAATATCCAGCAAACAAATAGCTATACATTGAGTCGTCAGACGAAATGGCTTATCACTGGCAGGCGTGTTGTTTGCTGGAGTTCTGGTGATTATTCCGTCAGACACCAAGTCTGATTTATAGCGGGGGAAAAAAATAAAATAAGATTACATGGTACCTGCCAGAATCTCTATGTCGAACTATTTAAACTAGAAATGCTGAGGCACCAATCTCCAGGATATATTTAACCAGAGGCCCTCAAACTACTCTCCCCTTCCTCACTGCCCTTTCTCACACACACATACCCTATTCCCACCCAATAAATCCATGCCTGATCATACTACTCCTGGTTATTATTGTTTGTATTACAGCAGGACCTACTAGTTTCTGATGAAGGCTCCCGTGTTGGGCGCAGGACGTATGAGTAAGGCAGTTGTTGCACCTGCCTCAATGACACACCAGATTAGGCACAGCTAAAGAGATGGATAAAAAGATGGGGCAAGGAGAGAGGCTGCAAATGTAACCACAGTTATGCCATATACAGCTGGCTGAGTCTGTGGCAAACAGGAGGTGCAACGAAGGCACACAAATACTGGGAGTTACGGCAAAATGTCACCTGTCGAGACTTCCATGTAGCTCTCTCATCCGGATGCTGAATCTGCCTTTCCTTCAAGTCAAACCTTCTAGGAACTGCTGATTAGTTGGGTTTCACCGCACGCAGGCAGCAATTTTTTTTTTTTTAAATAAGCAGGCTAGTTCCAGGCAAAGTAGCAGGTATGTTACTTAAACTGCTCCTCCTGACTGAGGCCTCAGCATCACTTCCAGAAATTCCTATGCCATGACAATTCAGTCTTGTAATTACTACAGACTCTCATCTAACCTTTTTTGTGCTTGGCAGAACTAGAGGTAATTCCTGGCATTACAGACAGCTCATAGGCAAAGCAGGTGAGAGCCTAAAGCAACGGGCTCCTGGGGGCAGCGAAACAGCTTTGGTCCCCATCCCCTTTCCCCATGCCAGAGCCTGAGGAAGCGGCTTTGCTTGCTGCTGCTGCCCATGTGGAGCCAAGGGTTAGGGTCCATGGGGCAGCAGCTGCTGGTGGTGGAGAGAGATAGCGGAGTACCCACCCAGGAGCAAATCTCTCTTTCCCAGCTCTCTCCTTCCCCCTAGTTGTTGTCCGGTCTCTGTGACAGCCTCAGCTACAGCTACGTCCTCCACAACTTCACCCTTAGTGCAGCAGATTCCCTGGGCTGGGGGTGCTCCTGCTCTGCTGAAAAGCCTGCCTTCAGTTTTCTGTGGTTGCTACTATGAGCAAGGTTTTTATTTTGAATGAATAGCAACTGTGTCTCAGAGTTTTTTGTTCTCTCATTCTCATTGAATACCTTATTTATAATATCCTGTACACATCACCACAGAAAGCCTTCGATGCCGGCAAACAGGCTGACTCTGCAGAGGTATAAGAAATGATTTAACCATTTGTATTGTCTGAATGGACTCAGAAGCTTGGGGACACAATGGTAAATTGTACAGCTCAGCTACAGGGAGTAAAAGACAACAGCATTGACTCTCCAGTGCATCTCTTCTTTTTTTTCTTCTTTTTTTTCCCCCTGCTCTATTCTTGTTCAAGCAAATCACAAACAGGCTACAAAAGCATAATATAAATTGAGAGAGAATAAAAAAGGACAGCTGATCATAAACAGCCCTTGTACCAACGAACGGCCTGAGCTGTAACATGCTGGATAACGTAGCTCCATCATCATAAAGATATCACCTGTGCCTCAGGGTAAAATGGGCTATTTTAAGAATAAAGAACAATCACTGCATGAATATAAAAGCGACTTGGCATTAGTCAGGAAATTGCAGTTACATTTTAAATTCAGTAACGTCCGTGCTCTGATCTGAGACACTCAAAATGTCACCTTATGCTTCATGCATATTTCAACCCTTTTAACTTGAAGGACCAGATCCTCAGCCACTAGGAGCTTCCCTCATGCAGCCGTGCAGGGCAGAGCTCATGCCACCCATGGGAAGAAGCACTCATCCGAAGCCGCCTCCGGCAGCCAGCTGGCAGCCAACCTGGCACTTCTCCATCAGTGCCACCATTCCCCAATGGTGGAGAACACAAGCTGGGGCACGGGACAAGCTTCTCGAGTTGAATTAGAGTGATCTTGTCAGGCAATCGGCTCGCAGGGAAGCAGGGCTGGGGACTACTCTGACTTGTTCTGCCTGGGTCTAGTCTCACCTTCAGTAACCTTCAGATGCCAGCCAGGAGGACGGTGAACACTTCCCATGACTTTCCATTCCCACATTTTGTGTGAGTGCTGTTTTGACTTACCTTGTGGCAATGAAGCATGAACTACAAGGGCCGGATCCTCAAAAGCCTTGTACTTTGCATAGATATCTATGTCAGAGAAACACGAGTGCTGAGAAGATATAAAAAGCTATCCAATCAGCGAGGAAGCCTTTTATATCACAGCACAGAGAATGCAAATTATTTGCAAGGCAGTGGGGAATCAGACTTCAATAACATACTATAGATATGAAGGATATAAAATTGGATACATAGACCAGACACTTTTGGCAGAACCCCTGCAATGATTACCTGCTCTCTTCCCATTTTCTCTATGTGTGATTTTGCTTTCGAGGAATCTGACATCAATGGACTACATAAGACAGAGGAATAACCTGTGACACAGAACTGACAAGGATTTTCGTTGAACTGTTTTGTTTGTGAGACCCCATCTTATTAAAATCATGTTGTTTAAATACCACGTTGGGGAAAAAAAATATCAACAGTGGTTACTTGATTTCATTACATCCAGTCTTGACTTTATGCACCAGAAAAATAGGAGCATGTAGGCTCCTGTACCTGTACTGTCATTGCCTCTCTCATGCACATACATGTAGAATCACAGAATGGTTTGGGTTGAAAGGTACCTTTAAAGGTCACCTAGTTCCAACCCCCCTGCCATGGGCAGGGACACCCTCCACTAGACCAGGTTGCCCAAGGCCCCATCCAACCTGGCCTTGAACACTTCCAGGGAGGGGGCATCCACAGCTTCTCTGGGCAACCAGTTCCAGTGCCTCACCACACTCACTGTAAAAAATTTCTTCCTTATGTCCAGTCTAAGTCTACCCTCTTTCAGTTTAAAACCATAAAATGTATTCCTCTTACACATTGAATTATCTGGCTTTAAAGCCTAGCCATCTAAATCTAGCCTCTCTTGGCACTCTCTGCTGTACATTTTCTACACTGAATGAAAGTATAATTGTATACTAAATAAAATAATATTGACATTATGCATTTCTACATTGCCTTCATTTTCCGAAGGCTCTGAAAGCTTTCTGAAATGAAAGTGCATACAAAAGGCCAACCAGCCCAAAGCAGAACACAGCTTACCAGCAAACTGCTGGCACAGTGGTGCACATGAGGTGCCTGTGACACTCGGACACCTGAGGACACGTGGTATCGATGCTTCACAGCAAGGCAGGCGGACCCTCAAGCAGAGAAACTCTACCTCCTAAGTAGGTAGTCAGCCAGGCGAAAGACTGGTAGCTCCCAGCTCCCAGGGGTATATACACATGCTGGCCAGACAGCTAGAGAGCTAGGAGGTACCGGTGTTCGACTGCCATGGGATCTGTCCTAATAAATACTGCACACGAGGCTCGAGCTACGCCAGACAGCACGTACTGTGGTACGGCACGGTCAGCAGCTAGGAAAAGTGGAGCAAGGACGTGGTAGAAAGAAGCCCAGTGGGAAGGAGTGGTGTGCCTGGCATCAGTAGCCTGGAAAAGTTCATGCTCACCCACTCATCTGAGCGGGGCTCTCTGTGGACTCTTCCTACCACGGAAAACAGTCTCCCCTGAGGGATGCCCCTCCATAGCATTTTGCTGAGTCGGTGGTGATGAAATAGGGCAATGCACAACTCACTAAATGGAAACTACAGGAGGATTTAAGGCAGATGATAGAATTTAATTAGCTGCTTTGAAATCTGGCCAAGAAAGCAGCAATATACAAGATCTTCTCCTTCCTTTTAAAATAATGTTTTATTGATTCTATACTGATGAATAAAGGATCAGGATAAGACAGGCTATGCATTTTCTGGTCAATTAATTTTTAGCAGAAATTCTTATTTGTGGCTTAAGATTTTTTGTGACATAGACTGACAAGTTTGAATTGTCATTACAAAAATTAGAGAGGAGAAGAGAAAGGGATTGTTTTGTATTTTTGCCAAAACAAAATAAGTAAGTATTCAATTCTGAAGTGAGTGCCTTGAGGTTTGCTGATGATTTTTTTATTATTATTATTTTTATTTTTCTTCTTCTTTTCCACCAGAAGCTGATTTTACTAGTCATCTTCATGGTGCTGTCTCCAGCAGCAGTCTCCCTAGCATGCTGGGGCAATGTATTCATGAAAAGTAATGAGAAGCCAAATTTCAAACCGGAGCCTGCAGTGGCTAATTAGGTGTTTAAATACGGACTCTGCTGCTATCCAAGTTTGAAAACTGGATCCATGTTTAGCACTTCCCTTGGCAGCCAGTCTTACTCTGATTTCTTTTCTGGCTGGCTTTAGTTGGTCTGTGTTCTGCAGAAGTCTCCCATTTCCGCCCAGCGATACCATGCTTAGTGAAGAGCATTAAGTCAGCTCAGGGTACCCACTGAGTAACAGGGGAAACAAAATCGCTGCTCGGCACAGACCACTTCCTCCACACCTCCTGCGCACAGGCTCTCGTGCTGCTCTCGGCTTTTTCATTAACGGTTTCTTTGGCATTATGCACACATGTGGAGGAAGCTGATACAGACTGACTGCAAGAAGGGTGCAGCGACAGCACTCTCTCCCTTCCCCACCACATCTTGCTTCTACAAAAGGCTCAGAGGACCTGTGACCATACTGACCGACAACGCAGCTACATTTAACCTGGCCGGTG